CACTGTCCACGGCCTGAACTCCTGCCCGGAACACTTTCTTCTGGAGCCTCCCAAAACCCAGCCAAAGGCTCGCCTGCTTTTTGTTGTTGTTGTTGTTGCTGCTCTTTTCGCCCGGGGCCGGGAGCACAATTCCAAGAGGCAGGAGCGCAGGCTCCCAGGAATGCGCTGGGTTACGACACCGCGCCGCAGAGACCGGCGCTATTTACATAATAGATGAGAAAGCCCGGCCAATTAGCTGACAAAGGCAAGGGCGTGCTCGCAGGGCAATCAGAGTTCACACTAATTAACAGCGAGCCATTAAGAGCTCGCCTCCAAATGCGCGTGGAGGAGGAGGAGGAGAGGGACAAGGTGACATTCCCGAGGGCACAGGGACGTGCCCTCCCCAACCGCGTCTCCAGGGCGGGATGATTCCCAGCTCCTGGATGGGGAATGGGGGCAATTCCTTTGGGATCAGAGCGCTGGAGCAGCAGCTCAGCTCTTTATCTCTCACCTGTTCCTACCTGGAAATCTGGGACAATGGGAATGGGGGCAGTTCCTTTGGGATCAGAGAGCTGGAGCTCTGCTCTCAGTGACCCCTTATCCCTCCCCCATTCCCACCTGGAAGTCTGGAATAATGGGAATGGGGGCAATTCCTTTGGGATCAGAGCATTGGAGCAGCAGCTCAGCTCTCTGTGACCCCTTATCCCTCACCATTCCCACCTGGAAGTTGGGGTAATGGGATCAGCTGCTGAGGAATTCCCTCAGGGAAGCTCGGTGTGGAATGGAAGATGGTTGGAAGCACCGGGAATGAGCTGGGAATGAGCACCAACGCGTTTCCCGGGATTTTGTATCCTGCTATTCCATGCACCCATTCCCGGGGTGGATTTGAGGCTGGGATCTTTCCAGTGGATCCTACATTCCCCTTGTCCCTGTCCCATCCCCACCTGGAAGTCAGGACAATGGGATCAGCTGCTGAGGAATTCGCTCTGGAGTTTGGTGTGGAATGCAAGGAGACGGTTTGGAAGAGCCAGGAATAACCTGGGAATGAGCACCAGCCCAGTGCCCAAAACCAGGCACTGTCCCAATCCATTCCCAGCTCATTCCTGGCGGCTCCAGCCATTTCCTTCCATCCCACACCGAGTTCCCGAGTGAATTCCTTCTCCCATTTCCTGGGAGTGCCAGGTGGGAATGAGCCGGGAATGGGCACCGGGGCCCTTCGGTGCCAGATCCCACCCTGCAGTATCCAGTGGGAAGATCCTAGCCCAAAATCCAGCATGGGAAGGGATGCATGGACTGGGAGGGTACAAGATCCCAGGGAATCCTTGGATGGGAACAAATTT